TAACTACCGTAGTGAGGGTGATTAAACGGCTTACACCACAAGGGCATACTTGTTTAATACGCGTGTATAAGGCAAGATGAAGATTATCAAAATACCGGTAAGTACAATTTTATTCTTTTTAAATGGAAATAATTGTCCTAGGGCAGTTATTCAGTTTTGCTAATAAACACTTCCAAGAACAATGGACATAACTTTCCCCTGTGGTTTAATTTAAACAATTGGTTTCATCAGAGTAAGTACATCTGGTCAGCACTTGTTCACGGAAGCGATTCACTCCTTGACATATCAATTCCTTACGCGGAAGTGTTGGTCCATGACAGATGCGGATTGGTCAGTATCACCTGGTGCAGTTGTGTATTACAATTGTTTAAGTGACTTTCCATTGTTTGTTTAGTTAACATACACTCAGGGGCAAAATAAATGATACCAAACCTTTTAAAATCATAATTTGTGTTTGGTCTTCGATATTGTGAGCATTTATAGCTAGAAACATTCAGTCGAACGCAACAAAGCTGCCTCCTCAATGAAACAACGATGCACGTGCAAAGCAAGAACCCAGAAAAGTGAACTTATTCACGATAGTTTCGTGCACGTGCACACATGACAAATATTCGGTATAAAAGCACGTGAAAATGTTTATGGACGTCTACATTTTACGATAACATTTGCGACCATGCCGAGATTATCGAAAGAGGAAAGAGAAAGGGAAATTGGCATGTTCCAGCTTGGCGCTACCCACAACCACGTCGCCAGGATCAATTGTAGCCGACTTACAATAACCAGGTTGATGACCCGTTACAGACAGACAGACGCACGGCAGGACACAGGACAGGCCGAGGAGTCGCAGACCTCGGGTCACGACCCAAGCTGAAGACCGTTACTTGCGTACCCTGCATTTACGCAGCCGATTCCTCACTGTGACGTCATCAGCATCGACTGCGCTCGGTCATCAGCCGAAGGACGGTGTCCAGGAGACTTCGTCAGCATGGTATCCGAGCCTACAGACCCTACCGTGGTGTAGCACTGAGGCGCCTCCATCGACGTCGACGTGTGAGATGGGCACGTATCATTCGAGGTTGGCAGCGCAGACAATGAGACAGTCTTATTTACTGATGAGAGCAGATACCTCCTGAACAGACCTGACGGCAGGAAACGAGTGCATCAATGCAGAGGAGAGCAGACGGCACGTTGCTGTGCGCAGGAGTTTGAGCCGTGTGGAGGTGATGGCGTTATGGTGTGGGAGATTGGTAGTGACAGAAAGACGGATCTGGTTGTTGTCGATGGGAGTTTGAATGGGCAGCGTTATATCGATCAAGTCCTTCGGCCAGTTGTTCTACCCTTCCTGCAAGAGAATCCAAGAACCGTATTTCAACAGGACAACGCTCCATGCCACACAGCTCAACGTGTTCAAGGCTTTCTCAACGCCAACAACGTTATTGTCCTGCCATGGCCATCACGCTCTCCGGATCTTTCACCCATTGAGCATTTGTGGGACCATCTTGGGAGACAGATTTGTGCCAGACAGGTCGCCCCAGTGAACAGATAAACCCTCATCCAAGGTTTGAGGGAGGAGTGGAACAGGATACCTCCTCGCGTGATCAGACGTCTGATCTCATCTGTTCGACGTCGTGTTAGGGCCCCTTTCGATGTCGGAGGTGATCACACTCGATATTGACAGGAGTGTCACTGTGTCACTGACATTGACTTATCTCATCATACTGGAATGATCGAATCCAGGACATCTGAATATATGTGTTTTTTTGCAATTATCTCAAACAATTATTGGCCTTGATTAATGAATTTGATTTTCCATGCTCCTCTCCTCTTTCTCTTCAAATTACAACATCGATGTTCTGTTTATCTTTTGTCATCTTTTAGTAATATGGTATCGTTTCTTTTTGACCCTGAGTGTATGATGGGCGTCTTGTTTATTCTCGTTGAAGTTTTTAGTTAACATATGATAACATAATCTTTTTATGTTTAATTTGCTCTTTAATCTCGCATTCTCTGCTTTTATTGTAGATTGTATTATCTTAATTCCTATGTATAGAATCTGTTCTGAGATAAAATGATACATGGGTCATTCTATGGACAAAAGGACAATTTCAGCATTTGCTCTTAAGCAAATTTTATGTGTATTTTTTATGTCTTCATGTAAACTGCTATGGTTTGTATGATTGGCATACTACATCAGCAGAGAAGTTTGGGCAGGAATCTTCCATAAAATCTATTGTGACGTTTAAATGAAAATGTCATTACCGCAACGATGGCAAAAGTACAGATTTTGAAAAATCAAGTCATAAATTGTGCTTAAAAGCAGCTATAAAATGGAAAGAGTTGTTAGGCGTCACATATGTGTTTTTTATAAGTATATTTGTGCAATAAATGGTCATTCTTCTAAATTGTTTATTTTTAAGTTTTTAGAGACGAATTTCCGACCAACCCATCAGAAACCTTCAAGGCAACCTTACAGCAAATTGCTTCCACTAAATCCTGCTACCTCACCTCAACCCACTTTTTGACCGCCAGAGGGAGCTGTTTCAACACGACAACGTTCGACCCCACTCAGCTCGTGTAACAGGGGGGCGGTGGGGTAGCCTAGTGGTTAAAGCGTTGGCTCTTCACGCCGAAGACCCGGGTTCGATTCCCCACATGGGCACAATGTGTTAAGCCCATTTCTGGTGTCCCCCGCCGTGATATTGCTGGAATATTGCTAAAAGCGGCGTAAAACTAAACTCAGTCAGTCAGTCAGTCGTGTAACAGGTGCCTATCTCGCCAATGCAAACGTCAATGTCCTTCCCTGGCCTTCCAAATCGCCTGATCTGAACCCGATCGAGCATCTATGGGACGAACTTGATGGACTCGTCCGTAAACGAGACCATCGTCCTCAGACACTTGCAGATCTTGCCAACGCGTTGCAGGAGGAATCCAACGACTTGTGCAATCCCTTGTTGAGCAGTGACGGCTGCAAACGATGGAGTTTAATGCTGACAATGACACAACAATACATATGTTCATCAGTGTGTCATCTCTGTTCAAGTTTAATCTCGAGATTGGTTGCAACAACAACAACATATAAAGTCATTTAAATACACGATGCCGTTTTGGTAAATGGTTAAATGTAACTCATGTTAAATTTGAGATAACACTTTCTCGTTCAAGCACCGATTCTAGTATTCAACCCAAACAAGTACTAGAATCGATACTTTAAAGAGAAATTGTGATCCCAAATATATACAAGAGCTAAAAAGCCACTGGTACATTGACAAGTTGTACAATGTGTGCCCATCACATCAACATAACGACTGACACTGTAAGTAGACAGATGTAGCGACTGTAAACTCCACATGCAATGAAGTCGGTTATACCGACCACCTGAAGAACGTTTTTGTTGCGTGTAACAGTGTCCACATTAGTGCAGTGAGTGAACTGAACAAAGGCTGACAAGGACAACAATACACATGTTCATCTGCGTGTCAAATTTTCTTACTTATGTACACTTCAATACGTTTAACACATTATATTTCGCCTATGCGTTTCTTTTTATGAAGAGTGTAGATCGAGTAAACGAATCTTAAAGGGGCACTAGATTCTGGCTTCTAACCGCACGTGTCCATTAGCTGTCGTGACACACAACTGATCACGACAGGAGACTGGGCTACCTTCTGTAAGGACAGCAGAAATATGCCTTGAAGAAATATCTATACGTATTTCAAATATGTATGCCTGTAACAGTTTAGCGCTTGTCTGATGTATGTACAATGGCTCATGGAGAAATGTCTTGTGATGAACTGTAATCGGACCAGAAGTTCTTCAAACGCTACAAAACGTTGATGTCAATACGTTGATTGATTAATCACTATTATCATATATTTGTAAACAGATGACACAATGTCTGAGCGTGAAGTGCCTATATGGAAGTAAGATACTGTGTTGAAAGGATTTGCCCATAACACGTTGATAGATTGCTCATTGTTATGTAAATCAATGATTTCTTTATAAAATAATTGTCGAGCGTGCCAGTGGACTAATCAGACTCGATACTTAAAATAAATTATATAAAAGAGCATTTCAGATGATTTAGACTCTTAGATGCAAAATTGAAATCTCCATGCACTCAATGATTAAAACAACACTTGACCTAATTGCGTCATATTTTTCATTTATCTATATTTAAAGATAATTATATTCGGAACTCTAGAACATATAATGTATTGATGATGATGATTTGGAGATTTTACGAGCGCTTTCCGACCTAATGCGTATTTTACTACATAACATTTCCACATGTCACCTTCTGTATATTTGTGAACCACATATACTCAACCAAATAAATAAAACTTGTTAAATTGAATCTCACATGGAAGTAGTGTGTTTATTATAAACATAGTCGTGTATCTCAATGTTGTCATTCAGGTAACAATACAGATGATGAGGGCGGTGGGGCAGCCTAGTGGTTAAAGCGTTCGCTCGTCACACCCACCGAATACCCGTGTTCGATTCTCCACATGGGTACACTGTGTAAACCCATTTCTGGTGTCCGCTGCCGTGATATTGCTGGAATATTGCTAAGAGCGGCGTACAACTAAACTCACTGACGATGAAACGTGGGTATTCTCCCAGTTTGGGATAAAATAGGGATGTCGTCTTAAATGCATGAAAGTTTGATAATGAGAGTTTAGTGTAGGCCTGTGGCATCGAAATTTCGGCATTCAGGGGTGGGCATTCACATTGAGCATGCATGAGAGAGAGGTTATGTACGGTCCCTAATGCATAAGGGCTAAGTTGTTATTATTTGCAACCCCTATTCTATCAGATAAAGAATAGTCTCGCCGCAAAACAGCTGTTCCTGAAGAGGGATATAAAAAAACAACACTAGGATAAGTGTCAGGTCACGAGCTCTTCTGAGGGCCACGCTCAGTTGGATTACCAACACAAATGGCCGACATCAATCCCGCACAGAATCGAGGCGTGTCGGAAATCAACTCTCTGATTGGTCAATTTGTTGTAGTTTTACTGCTTATCAGCAGATGTTACTACGCCAGCCTGCAAATAACGAAACCTAGATCGTGGACATCGTGGAATATACAGTAACTGGGACAGCAGTGCACGTGGACACAGTGGGACATCGCCGTCGTTGTGACAGCAGCTGAGGTAGGCCTACAGGGTTTTTTACCTAGACGTACAGCAATAGGGGCCTTTAATGGTATTGGTCAGTGCAATGTATTCTTTTCTGTGTCCATTCTCTTCATCTGTGCATACCCTTCTGAGGTGTTAGTAACACAGGTCAGGCTATTTGCACTAGAAACACTAGCAGTGGTGAAACACTAGCAGTAGATAGTGAGATATTAGCAGTAGATGGTGTTGTATTAGTATTTGAGATCGTAGACTAATGCTTAGTCTCTGAATATATATAATTTTGATAGTAACAAATAAACCCATTTAAATTGAAAAGGAGCTCCAGGGAGACCAGTCCTGAACCTGAGGAAATCTAGACTTACTTCATTTAGGGCTTTAGCATTGTAGAGAGGGCTTGGCAGTAGGGAAAATAATGTGGTTCAGGGACTGTGAGACAGACTATCGATATCGTAGCATCCGAGATATCGATATTTGCAGTAGGCGGGGAGGTATCTCAAGCTATATGCAGGATATACGGTAAATATCCGAACTCGGTTATCTCCCTTCAATTACTCCACAACGTGTCTCACTTCAGCACTGACGAATGATCTCTTTGAAGGGAATTTCCACCTGAAACAACGCATACAGTTGTGTTGCGGAGATTGGAGCGCCCTTGGGATACGTATAGGATACGCTTAAATGCAGCGATGTCGGTCAACGTCGTCCGTGCTGCCGTTGAAGACGACGGCGAGGAGGTTCTACGTCTATTACGGGTGAGAGTTATGCTTTTCAAACACAGGGGAAATTCCCTGTTATACTCACCTGGCATGACATTTAAAACTTGCTGATATTGGCTTGAAGAACACCAGCATATCGGGGAAGTATGGCCGATGAGTCATGCTCGTATTTCTGTCGGGGATCGTAGAAAATACCTGGTTAGTAATTCAGGTGATCGAGTGATTGTTGTACCAATAGTATATATGGGCAATTGGCAGATGAAGGGACAATGGCGTTGCCTTGGACGTTTTTATATAATGGCAAACACGGCCAAGGGGATGTCCACCAAGTTACAAGTAAAACAGCTATTAGAGAAGTATGGTTTTGGATATGTATGGAAAAACCAACTAGACTTAGACCTTTCATCTTTTATAGGAACCTTTAGAAATAGATGTATTGATATAGATACACAAACTTGGTTTACACGTATTCATTCTTATCCTAAACTGAATTTATGTTGTGACATTAAACTTTCTTTTGAGAGAGAGGTGTATTTAACTTGTCGGGATGTACCAGCTTATCGTAAGGCTCTTAGTATATTTCGCTGTTCAGGCCATCAGTTAATGATAGAGTCTGGAAGAAAATCTGGTCTGACAAGAAATTCTAGATTATGTCCATTTTGTGTTATACCTGTAATTGAGACAGAATATCACATGTGTTTGGAATGTCCTTTTTACTGTAATCTCAGACATACAATTTTGCCTGTGTGCTATTGTGCTCATCCTTCTTATGATAAACTGGTATTACTTTGCACATCACACGATTCAGGTATTTTAAATCGTTTAGCGAAGGTTTTGTTCCTTGCATTCAAACAACGTAACAATTACCTTAACAAAACTTGTACAACCCATTAAGTGTATGTTTATTGATGTATCTTGTACAGTGCTATGGCGCTCCAGATTTTCCACTTTCATGATATGACTCATGTAACTGTATAATGGGCCTGTGGCCCCTTTATTGAATAAACCAATTACTGACCAAGGTTATAAATGTCATACACAGTAATTAATGAAAGTGACAGTGGTATGGGTTGGCTGATACAATGTAAGTCAATGTACAATGCGGCGGTGATGAGGATTTAGAATGGAGAAAAGCGTTGTTTTAATAATTGCAATTAAGTCATACATGTCTTAGCTAAATAGTTTTTCGCCTTTGTTTGTTGTTTAACGCCGCACTCAGCAATATTCCAGCTATATAGTGGCGGTCTGTAAATATTCGAGTCTGGACCAGACAATCCGGTGATCAACATCATGAACATCGATCTACGCAGTTGGAATACGATGACAACCACGTCAGCGGGCCTTATAACGCGGTCACGTCAGTCGCCTCTTGGAATTATTTTGACAATGGCTCATCTGAATCGGTCGCCATCAGAATTTGAATTAATACAGTCGTAAGATGCGACTGACGAGATTTGGTGGCCAAGCTCGCTGGTCACTGGATTGTCTGGTCCAGACCCGATTATTTACAGACACCAGCCATATTATAAACAAACAAACAAGTAGCAGGGTTTACCGTGACTTACAAACTTGGGGTCCGGGGAAACTGAAATATAATTAGTTTTAGGGGACCTCGCCGGTAATATGGGGAAGTGTAGCGTACCTTCAGATAATTACTTCAAAGAATAAGAATAATCAGTGATCGAGTGGACAATGGTCATGATTGATTGGTGAAATTACAGACACAGGTAACTATTCTTTATTCGCTGTAGACTCGTGAAGATCCGGGTTAGAATTGGTCTTCACTGACCCATGCTTGTCGTAAGAGGCGACTAACGGGATCGGGTGGTCGGGCTCGCTGACTTGGTTGACACATGTCATCGGTTCCCAATTGCGCAGATCGACGCTCATGTTGTTGATCACTGGATTGTCTGGTCCAGACTCGATTATTTACAGATCGCCGCCATATATTTTGAATATTGCTGAGTGCGGCGTAAAACTAAACTCACTCACTCACTCATTCGCTGTAGGTAAGTTTTGCGTATTATTGTGTGTCTCATGACGCAGGGTTTGTTTTTTAGAGTCCATTCTCTACATCTGCGCGTACGGGAGACATTGAACCTTGCATAAACCCTAGTGTAGTTTACGGTAGTCACGGGTGCATTTCTTTTAAATGAAGTTATTCAAAATGTATAAAGAAACAAATTCAAACATTTCACTTATAAGAAGTAATACAACTGCTGACTTTCAACATTTGCTCTTCTTCAAACACCGGCGATAGAGGTATAAACGTGTATATTGTTCTGTCAAAAGATACCGGGTGTTTGCCAAAAGAATGTGTATTTAACCCCCTAGTAGAGCCAGCAGGTGTTCGCGGTATGGGAAACGTGTGCTCTGCTCTAACACCAGCCGTTCGCGGTATGAATGTATACTGTATCACCCTTTACAGCAGACACGAAGGGCTGCTTGCACAAAGAGACTTTAGCGCTAAGACGATTTTAACTCGCTCGTCGCGCCGAAGACCCGGGTTCGATTCCCGGTACAATGTGTGAATCCCATTTCTGGTGTCCCTCGCCGTGATATTGCTGGAATATTGCCAAAAGCGGCGTAAAACTAGACTCACTTAATTACTCACATAGACTTACAAAAGTCTGCTTTTTGCAAGCGGACCAAGGTGTCCACAATGTGAAGTGCCAACCCGCCTTTAAATAGGACACCATGTGTTTTACCGGTTTGGTTTCATATTTTGAGCCCGTAATCATGATACCAGGTGTTCACGATTTCTGTGTGAACAGATGCATATGCCGTAAACAATTGGGACGAAGGAGAATGTGACTCTTGGTGAGATGTTATGTAAAAATACCTTCATCGTTCCCAGTACTTTACTTTGAGACACATGTCACCACTGTTCTTCCCTAAAGTGATTTTATTTGTAATTTCAGGAACTGGCGAGCCTTTCCAACGGCCAATTTAGAATGGACATAGACAGTAAGAACACCTTGCATTATTCGACGAAACCATGCACATTTTCATTCTGCGTCAAACAGGGTTCATATGTTAGCCCATCCATTAAAGTGGTTTAGATTCGAGTACCTCACTGCGTTCAGGGTTTGAATTGATCTTCAGTACTCCATGTTTGTCGTAAGTGGCGACTATCGGGATCGTGTGGTCAGACTGGCTGACTTGGTTGACACATGTCATTGTATGGTTGACACGTGTCATTGTATGGTTGACACGTGTCATTGTATGGTTGACACGTATCATTGTATGGTTGACACGTATCATTGTATGGTTGACACATGTCATTGTATGGTTAACACGTGTCATTGTATCCCAGTTGCGTGGATCGATGCTCATGATTTGCAAATAATAGAGTATGGATCTGACAATCCAGTGATTGATGACATCATAAGTATCTATGCCGTGAGTCACCTAGCATAGGTTCCTGAAGACCAATTCTGTCCCGGATGTTCACTGGCTTTATGATATGTTTCTGAGCTAAACCATTTGCTTGTTAAAACGGGTTTTGCTCCTAAATCAATGTAAATCTCATACATATGTTTTTGTTTATGAAAGAAGCATGTGTTCAGTGCACAGTGACATCCCTTTAACTCGGCAGGATTCTCAGTTAGGTCTTTTCATAGTACATTGTACAGGGCCCCGTTTGAAAAAGCTATGGTAGCGCTACGACAGTCGTACATCCTGTACTGGGCCCCGTTCCTCAAAGCGATCGTAGCGCTACGACTGTCGTAAGTCTATGTTACAGGGCCCTGTTCCTCAAAGCGATCGTAGCGCTAAGAGAGCTCGTAAGTCTACGTTAAAGAAAGGGAATTACGATAATCGTAGCACTACGCTCGTTTTGTCCCAGGCCTCAGTGTTGTAAAGCACGGTGCATTAGTTGCACGGTCTCCTAGCTATCGTAGCTCGACGACTGTCGTACCCCCTATACTGTGACGTATACTTACGACAGTCGTAGAGCTACGATCGGTCATTGAAACAGGCCCACGTCTTTGTACTATAACCATGGTACGTGGGTTGCATGGTCTCCGGGGTATCGTAGCACCACGGCTGTCATACCTCCAATACTGTAACACAGATTTAAACAGTCGTAGCGCTACGATCGGTTTGTGAAACAGGCCCACGTCTTTGTACTGTGCGCACGGAACATGGGTTGCATGATCTGGTTTAATCTCTAAGTTCATCCAGGATGTATTGACATTGGGCTATCCTAGCCTAGTCAGCACCACGCCCCTTTAAACGTCTAGAGCGTACGTCACGTATACTTTCCATCCATCCGAGATAACACGCCTTAGAAGCAGCACTAAACCCAAATAATATCTTTTAATTTCTCGTCTTCCAGGATTCAGAAGAGATGGCTTTGGCGAAAACAGAAAATTCCATTGTTTAGTCGTTGATTCCCCGACATGTATGTATACCTCTTATATACCTCTCCATTGGGAGCTATTAGCACACAAATTCTATAACTTTAATAAGTGTTGATATTATTATATTTGTTATCTGATCTGATTGAAGTGCCAGTCAGGTTAGTGGTTGTGGTTGTGATTTGGGCCTGAGTTGGAGTGTGTTTTAGGGATGTGGGGTTGGGGTTGGGGTTGAGCTTTAGGGGTGTGCGGTTGGGGTTGAGGTTTAGGGATTGGAGTTTGAAGTGTATGGTTGGGTGGTCTTGGATGTCGTGAAAACATACATATCAAAAAAGAGGTAGGGGGTCGCCTACACTGAATCTTACCACTCCCAGCCCATTCCCACTCAACTTATAACAAAATATCCGTAACCAGTACCTTAGGGTGATCTCTTTTCAATCTGCCGCAAGTTTATAAAGACATATTGATAACCCGCACACTCAGGATGTCTGAGACTAGGAAATGCCGCACAAACATTCAAACACACAGGGTGCGTTCTGTTTCCATGTAATGTATCATCTAAACGCATCATATATAGGAAGCGATTAAATTGACCTTTATTAATGAGGGTTCGGTTCCTTAAAATGTTTTAGCATTTCGGCTATCGTAAGTGAATGTTTCAATATGTTAGCTACCTTGGAGTTAAGATCGCTTTGTGAAACCGGGTCCTGTTGACAAAAACATAACATTTTCGCGACACAGAGATTTTATATTTCTTTCGTCCTCCACATTTAGGTCCAAAAGAGTTGATTGGTGTCCTGGTGTATATCTGGTTTTACAGTACATGGATTGGAGAAGTGTTATACATAGAGGATATATATGTAGCTGACGGCTTCAGGAGGCAAGGCATCGGGTCTGCTCTCTTCCTAGAGGCAATTAAGGTAAGTATTACAAGTATAACGTTGTCTAACAAAGATCACATTCATACCGGACATGCCCACTAATGGTGGTCCGATTAATTGAAATAATCGAAGATTGGTCGCAGTGACTAAACGACCAAGCAATCGATCATGTTTTCTCATAATCGAACACAAACAATTCTGGAACACTTGTTGCATTAACAAAGTATTTCACAAGGTTGGTTTTGTCTGTTACATTTCATGAGCACTACAAGCTCGTCCAAGTCATGATTGAATTTATCTTAAAGACCCCCAATAAATTTATGTTCCTAACATACTAGTCATCCTTTAAAGATGAGCAATTTGCCGAAAAACACAAAAAAACCTAAGAACTACATGTTTTTTCTTTATGTTTTTGTGCAAACAAACATAACCAGGAAAATCTGATAAATGACGCTAACCAATTATTTTCGATGATTGATCGGTTGTAATGAACCAATCATCAATTAAGAGATTTTAACCAATTCCCAGCACTAATGCCCGCCATGTTACAGACGTTACACGATAGGTAGTTACGTTACACACCGTAAGACGAAACACACTAGACATGGCGATGTAGTGAGAGCCTAGAAGTGACTTTGTTATACGTTGGGTAGATTTATACATCGGAAGATGAGTGAGTATAGTTTTACGCCGCTTTTGGCGATATCACGGTGGGGTACAAGAAATGGTTTTCATACGTTGTACCTACTTTAACACTATAACCACTAGACTACCCCACTGCCCCCTGTCAGAAGATGAGATTAAGCTGTGTAAAAACGGATTTTGTTGACTACAAGCGTAATTAATTACTTTGCACCTCGGCGTCATGGGACCGCCTCCGTGGTGTAGTGGTTAGAGCGTCCGCCCGGAGAGCGGAAGGTCGCGGGTTCGATCCCCGACCGCGTCATACCAAAAGACGGTAAAATATGGTACTTGTTGGTCCCTGCCTGGCGCTCGGCATTAATGGGTACAACAAGGACTGGTCGGCTCGGAGTCAGTATAATGTGTCTGAGTGGGGTATTCATGCTTCACTGCGGCATGGTATCTCAGTGGGCTAGCACTATAAAACCAGCTTAAGTCTGGGCTAGTACAAGCAGCCGCACATACACATACACACGCATGCACGTCGTCACATGAGCGAAATATTCTCAAGCACGACGTAAAACCCAATTTCACCTCACCTCACCTCACCTCGGCGTCATGGACGGTGTTCATAATATCAGTCATATTTAGTTTACTGGTATTGACTTGATTATTTACACGTGCTGTGATACTGCTGGACTACAGTTTACTGTTACACGAAACAAAAACGTTCTTCAGGTGGTCGGTATATCCATCATTGCATGTGGAGTTGAGAGTCGCTGCATCTGTCTAGTTACAGTGTCAGTCGTTATGTTGATGTGATGGGCACACATTGTACAACTTGTCAATGTACCAGTGGCTTTATAGCTCTTGTATGTATTAGGGATAACAATTTCTCTTTAAAGTATCGATTCTAGTACTTGTTTGGGTTGAGTACTAGAATCGGTGCTTGAACGAGAAAGTGTTATCTCAAATATAACATGAGTTACATTTTAACCATTTACTAAAACGGCATCGTGCATTTAAATGACTTTATATGTTCTTGTTGCAACCAATCTCGAGATTAAACTTGAACAGAGATGAAGGAAATTCGACACACTGATGAACATATGTTTTGTTGTCATTGTCAGCATTAAACTCACTGTGTGGACACCAGGGGGCGTTCAGGTCAGTACCTGGTGACACCACCCCTTGCAGCCGTAACTGCTCGACCCCAACTTGAAAGGGATTGCACAAGTCGTCGGATTGTTGCTTGGGGAATACTTCGCCATTTCTACTGCAAGTTCTGTTGGTGTCTGAGGACGATGGTGACGTTTACGAACGAGTCCATCAAGTTCGTCCCGTAGATACTCGATTGGGTTCAGATCAGGCGATTTGGAAGGCCAGGGAAGGACATTGACGTTTGCATTAGCGAGATAGGCACCTGTTACACGAGCTGTGCGGGGTCGAACGTTGTTGTGGTGAAACAGCTCCCTCTGGCGGTTTAAAAATGGGAGGAGGTGATGTCGCAGGATTTGGTCGATGTAGCGTGATCTACCCGTGTAGGACATGGTTCCCCACACCATGACGCTATCTTCACCAAATCTGCCCACTTGTCGAACGTAGTTCGGCGCAAAACGTTCGTGTCGACGTCAATAGACACGTTGTCTCTCATCACGTCGTTAGAGGAGGAAACTCGATTCATCGCTCAACCAAACTCGTCGCCAGTTCTCCAGGTTCCATGCCTGTACCTTGTTGCACCATTGGACAAGTCGTTGTCGGTGTAGTCGTGTCAGGACAGGTACAATTTTTCATCGATATGCTCGAAATCCAACTTCTCTCGGACGATTTCTGATGGTTTGGTCGGACATTCTTCGAAGACCAGCTTCCAAACGTCCAATGGCGATATTTCGGCCAGTAGCATTCAATCTTGGGAATTTTTTATTTTCGTTTACGTCGTAAATTTTGTAATAAAATTATGAATTTGGTTTGGGCTTTTATAGTCGATGTCTCTACTCTACGTATACATATTGCACGTGCATTACGTGGAAATCGTTTTCTACATATACTTTTCATGTATCGTTTTTATTTTGAAGGATAAACGTTTGTGATGCGTTTGCGCGCAAAACACAACAGCCACGACATGATTAACGGGATTCAGACCTAGGATTGCTGTCCAAATGGATTGAAATGAACCGCTGAAAATGCCTGTGCGTTTCTCTTTTTTTTTGAAGAGTGTAGATGGACACTGAAGGCGTAATATCAAACACAGGGTACATTACATCAGTCCTATAGTTTGATTGAGTATGCAAAACTGGTAGCATACGAGGCAAACGAACCAGTCATTTCTCTTTAACCATTCGGATAAACATCGGGCCATGACACTCATTGATTCTCATGCGAGATAAGCAAGTTACACAACATATGTTCCGATTGATTTCTACTCGATAGTGATTGCCGCCTTCTCAACCAATCAGGACCTAGTATTTTGACGTGAGCGGGGTATTCTACTGTACGTCCAAATCTCATTTTGTTGTTTTGTTTCAGATTGCAGAGGCCAAACATTGTCCTCGACTTCAGTGGATGGGGAGGAACTGGAATGCTCCCGCGCTTCAGTTTTACCAGAATACATGCACAGGATATATACGAGGAGAGGGGCTTCAAGGTGTTCAGATTGACTACAGACGCGATGAGGACTGCTGCTGAAATATTGGCGAGTTCAAATCACTGACAGTATGGAGGTCCTTGTGTTTATATACTGACATGTAATCAGGAGTTTTGTTTCTCCCTGTGGAGCTTGTTTTCGTAGCTGAGATGCCACAAAGGGATTCAGGGATATGGAATCAAGACGGGTTTCTTTATGAGTGCTGTGTGTCAGTGTGGCCCAGTGGCATAGATGACAGGACACCGTTGTGCAGAGTTGCTTCCCTTAGTTTTATCGGGATCCAGTGGTCCATTAGTTCTGATTGTGATTCTTGGATTTTCTACCAGTTCCCAGATCATGGGTCTCGTCAAAGTTGTAAACATCAACGACTTCTACTTCCACTTGACACGCCATTGTATAACTGATATACTGTACTCAGCGGTGTTACAGTAAACTCACTCACTCATCCATGTAGCCTGAGTTTCATAGTATCAGATTCCTTAGAGCTACCCCACACGATAGGGGCGGTGGGGTAGCCTAATGGTTAAAGCGTTCGCTCGTCATGCTGAAGACCCGGGTTCGACTCTCTACATGGGTACATTGTGTGAAGCCCATTTCTGGTGTCCCCCGCCGTGATATTGCTGGAATATTGCTAAAATCGGCGTAAAATCATACTCACTCACTCACCACACGATGACGAATTATAATTCACGTTATCTCCTCTACATGTGTTTACCACACAGAAGACCATGCCGAAGGCAGCAGTACGTCCTATAAATATGCAAGGTACTCATGTGATCAGGACTAGTACAGGTGTAATCGGTCATGCTCCCGGACTGACTTCTTACTTATGAAGAAAAACACTGTCAGCTGCATTGTTGAAGTATTCTGATGGTAGACACAATGGTATTTTAATTTGTTACAGTCGACAAACTGTGATGAGTTGTATACTCTCCAGGGAGGTGAGATTGATAATACAATGTGCCGTTGAGATTGACATCCAATGATCGAGGGGAAAATACCAGCGCCTTGAGCATGCACTAGTGCGTGGATATGTTCGCTATATAAATATCCTACAATAATAATTAGACTGAGAAAATATATTCATAGACAATGGGATAAGTATTATTGATATTATGCAGTTTGTTTATATGATGTTTCCACGTTACGACGATAAAGATACAATTTAGCTTATGTGCATTAAATATGCAAATCTTTGCATAGTCAGATAAATGAAGGTTCTATGGAAATGAAAGCAACAACGTGTACGGCAGAGACAGGTTATCATTAAAGTACCTTACACTGACTCGTTCAAATGTGCGTGTCCAGGTCAGAAGAACACTCCCGTGAAGGTCTGGGTTAGAATATTGATCTTCAGTAACCCATGCTTGTCGTAAGAGGCGACTAACGAGATCGGGTGGTCAGGCTCGCTGACTTGATTGACACATGTCATCGGTTCCCAATTGCGCAGATCGATGCTCATGCTGTTGATCACTGAATTGTCTGGTCCTGACTCGATAATTTACAGACCGCGGCCATATAGCTGGAATATTGCTGAGTTCGGCGTAAAACTAAACTCACTCACTCAACTCACTAAACTCAAGTCCAACAAGAGTATTCTTATGTCTGATCTGTCTGATCTGAGCTACGGAGGCAGTGCCGTGGAACAGAGATTCGGAACTTTGTATTTGTACTTGTAGCTTTTTGACAAAGATATGAGTTAGTGGTTGCCCCACTAGAAGTGCAGTTGCGTCACGAATGAAAAGCGCCAGTTTACGATTTGGTCATTGTGGGTGCGAAGTGAAGAAAACTGGACTTTGGGGAAAATGTCCTGGAATAATACATTCATGAGTCAAAGTCAGATTTGTTGCCTATGACACGGAACATTTTTTTGGCTATAAAAAGCATTATATTGCAAAAGGCATCAGTCGACGACGTGTCTGTGTGTGTGCATGAAACTATACCTGCATCTGTTAGGAATGCGGTCTGGTCAAACGCTCTTCTATGGACAAAGTCACATTTTTTACCGTGGAGACAGAAAAAAGATATTTAAAAGGCTTAAAATACCAAAAGCACCACTAGCTGACGGGAAAGGCTACGATATATAGATGAAAATCGTTGATTCGTTATCTTTTATCCTTCCTAAGTACTCCTGTAAATTAACAGACGTAGCTGAGGTTGTTTTGTACAGCGGCACATCGGCCTTTGGTTCCTGAACGAATACCTGTACATAATAAGTGGTAAAAGTTTATTAAATAAATTAAATGACCATTGAAACTCTCGTGAAAGCGGGAGAAAATGAACTGCACGCACGCACGCACGCATCCGCCCCTAGGAGACCGTTGAATGTAATCAAACAATTCAAAGAAATTTAATCAATTTTGGTACGTCACTGGACAAAACGATGGCAGATATTATATTGTACTGTGATCTTTACACACACAATTAAACGCATCCTTTCAACAACTCAAGTCAAGTATTTTTATGCCGTATGTAGGCCACAGGTCCATATACAACATATATACATTTGTTTACAAATATAGATACACTTTAAAGGGCATACTTATCAATAATACACGTGTTATTTGTTCAAATAGATTTCTTGTCAGTATAAATATGATATTTAATATAAACATATATACACACCTTTATAAACATTTAAAATGGAAAGATGTGTGGTTTTAAGAAAATTTATTGGAGTTTGATTGCTCTGATTTTATAAGCATGAAAGATATATTTACATAAATTTCTTAAAAGTGTTTCATTATTTGTTGATAACAGGGACTTAAATTTATAGTAGTTTGGTTGTTTCTGATATACATATGGCGAGTATTTTAATCTAAGGGAGTTATATTCAGTACATATAAAAATAAAATGATACTCATCTTCTACACCCAGCTTACACAATGGACAATTACGTTCTGCAACTTCAACATTTAACCATCTTCCCTCATTATACTTTAACCTTAATAACCCACATCTAAATTTGATCAAAATATTTCGAAACTTTTTGTCCAAGATACATGATAAATATTTTTCTGGAGTTAACAGACTTTTAAACTCTCGGTAAATACGGTATCGTGAACTGTTATTCAATGTACAATTCCATGATTGAAAAAACATATTGATTGCAACAGTCTTGAATCTATTTACAAATGAAGCTGCATCACCAACTGTCTGAGACATCCAGTATTATCGTAATACATTTGCATTTTGTACACTTTCAAAGGAGCTCTATCTTGATGCATATGAATAACCTTTAACCAATACTTTAAAGTTTTACACAATGCGTTTATAACGAGAGGATATCTTCCACACTCGCCATATACAATAGCAGTAGGTGTTTGAGGGCTGACATTCAAGAAACATTTGCAAGCTGTTAGATGAACCTTTTCTATTTCATAAATGTATGTATTCCCCAGATTTCTGCCCCATACAATAATATCGGCTGTATCTGCGCATCAAATATCTTAAAATACAAGTTGATGCACATTAATGATTTCTGAAGTAATCTTCCTGGGCCTATTAATGATGCAATGTCAAGTATCCACCCATGATAAAGAACTCATGAAAGAAGATAATGTATCATTGTTTTGTATCAAATGTGAAACACCTGTCAAATCTGTGAGGGCAGGGAGTACGGGGGTTGTTATGTTTTTGAGGGACTCACAAGGTCAGCTGGTTAATCAACACGCTATAGTGATGTAAGCGGACGTTAAATCACAGTTTCCACGATCACACCAAGAAGCAGAATGTCCATAACAACTTAACTGTGCACACGTTATACGTCTAGGTGAGTGAGTGAGTGTGGTTTTACGCCGTTTTTTTTGGTTTTTGTTTTTATGATGTTGTTGTTGTTGTTGTTTGAAATATTCCAGCAATATTAAGGCAGGGTACACCAGAAATTAGCTTCACACGTTGTACCCGTGTGGGGAATAGAACCCGGGTTTTCGGCGTGACGAGCGAACGCTTTAATCACTAGGCTACCCCACCGCCCGTTATGTGTCGAAACATGTAGAGTAAGGTTGGGGCTGTCAGTGTAGCGGAGTTAACACTACAGGTAACCGACATTGAAAACACAGCTGTTTATCGCTACTCTACCATGAACAGATACATCGACAATTTCGTTGCGTTAATTAACTTTAGGTAAAGCAGTATTTTGTAAGTCTGATGTTCAAATTCATCAACCAAGGTAACGCGCTGTATATGCTGAAACCAGAGACCATAATTATATCTATAGTCTCTGCTTATATATACTAGACATTAAAAGTGTTTGGAACAGTACTTTCTAAATAAACGTGACGTTGGTACCCATACAGTGAGTGAGTGAGTTTGGTTTTACGCCGCTTTCAGCAATGCATGTATTCCAGCAACATCACGGCGGCGGACACCAGAAATGGGCTTCACACATTGTACCCATGTAGGGAATGGAACTCGGGTCTTCGGCGTGATGGGCGAACGCTTTAACCACTAGGCTACCCCACTGTCCGGTACCCTTATAAATACAGACAGGCTGTGCAATGTTGCGCAGGACATTGCAATCAGACATAGAGACAAGTACTACAATCTGAAGCTCCCTCGACTTCTGACGTATCTGTCTGACAAGTAAAGCGAATTGCCACACTCAGTAAAATGTCAAACGCAGTCGGTTATAATGATTTGAATCCTCTGATGGCCACGATGTATATAATAATCACGGTAGATCTACCATATGGTAAGATTAGATAGAATTGTATTTATGAATACCTTCCTATTCATCTACATCCTAAACAAAAATTTCCACATTCCATTTTACATCCTGCACAGAAATACCCCATCATGTACTACATCCTCAGTACATCCTCGACGTTGCTTTGATGTACCGCCAGTTTGTGTGGGTCGTGGTTCCCGTGACATACATGTAACATTGGGTTTAGCCCATTCACAGGTTTGAAGCGACCTCCACAGTTTTATTTTGTTTGTTTGTTTTCTAACGCCGCATTCAGCAATATTCCAGCTATATGGCGGCGGTCTGTAAATAATCCAGTCTGGACCAGACAATCCAATGATCCATAGCATGAACATCGATCTACTCAATTGGGATGCGATGTGTTAAGTCAACGAGTCTGACCACCCGATTCCGTTAGTCGCCTCTTATGACAACTATGGGTTGCTAAAGACCAATTCTAACCCGGATCTTCACGGATCGCCACCTCTATTAGTATATCTGCTTCATCCATGTTATGCCGTCCCCAAATGCTACATATATATAATAGCTCTATTTCTATACCAAGTCAGCGACGGTTATACATTAATACCCATTTTGTACTTGGTGGTAATTGTTTTGTAAAACAACATTTTGCTATTGTTTGTAAAGCGACATTCTCATATCAAAGTAGCCAGACTCTTTGTGGCTGTTCCAAGGCTAACGCTGTATTATATGATATGACGCTGTAGGTGCGACATTTAAAAGAAAATGTGTTTGTACC